ACAGCCCCGCCCGCGCCGCAGCGCCCCGGGACCGCGCGGGACGGTGGGCACAGGGTCCCGGGCACGTTCACACCTGCCGTCGCCCGGCCCCGGCGTCGGGGAGCTCGAGGGCCCGGCCCACCCACCTCCCCAGCGCGTGCTCTCCGGCTCCCGGCTTTTCTCTCGTGTCCGCCTCACTCTTTTCGACTTTGCTTTTTCCACCCCCTCCCCATTCCTCTTTCTGTGCCTCCTCTGACTTCGCCATCTTCTTTTAAGTGACCGTCGGGTTTTGGGTTTCGATCGTCTGCCCACCCGTCCCTCGGTCCTGCGGGGACGGGGAGGGCGACCGCCCCCTTTCCTCAGCCCGAACTCAGTCCCTCCCCCCACCGGGCCTGAGCGCCCAGCGCGGGGGCGGCGGGGCTCGAACCCGCGTGGCTCCCGAGCTTGGAGCCGACTGCGGCATCACCTGGCTGGCCGGCGTCCGCCAGGTGAGCACGGATGTGTGCTCAGCGTGGCAGGCTCCTGCAGAAATGTGCCTATAAACACCCGACACCCGGCTGCACCCTGTACCTGCAGGGTTTTGTACACTTTCCAACCGAAACTCCAAAATGCGAGGACTGGGGGGTGCGGGGCCGGCCCGGGAGGGAATGAAATCCCATAAAACTGGCGTTCGCTAGAGTTCATCACCGATCCTACAAAGGACAGGGCTTTTTTTTTTTTTTTCCTTGAGGGTTAGAAAAGGCATAAGGAAAACCCAACAGAACCAACACCTTTTTTTCACGGTGACCGGTTTTGTGTTCAAGGCCGGAGCACCAGCGCTTGCGCGTTTTCTTTAGACCCAGGTCTACACTCAAAGAAAACCAGCGTGCCTTTTCCCGCGTGCGGGGCGGACTGTCCTTTAACAACAAATTCAGGTTTTAACACATAGTCGCAATGGCTACCAACAAGGAAAACTCAGTTTCCAGTCCCAGCCTCCCGGAGACTTTCCTGCCAACCTCCGCGCCCTCTCACGCCCCACGCCACGTGCTGGCGACTGAAAAGCGACCCCGGGACGCTTCGACGCGGGGTTCACGTTCCGGAGCACTTCGTAATAGGAAGGGGAAGTGAATGGGGGAACTTAGAGGCCAGCCTGCCACGCGGGTCTCCGTGAATGAAGAGGCCGCGGGGAAGGGCGCCTCCGCCCGCCACCCTGCCCGCCCCTCCCCTGCGCCGGCCACCTCTGCCCCCTCCCTAGTGCCCCTCCCCGTGGAATTTCTCTGTAAAGCAAGACGGGGTGGGGGAGGGGAGACGGAAGGGGCGAGAGGGTCCTCGGCTCAGTCCGGAGACGTGAGGACTCGCCACCCAGACTTTCCTCTCCGGGTGGGCAGGCCCCGGGGACGACCACCCGCCTCTTCCCCGCCCCCGTCCCCGTCCCCGACTTCAGAAGAGCCAGGGCTCGGGATGCTTTCGCCCGTGCTCGGCGAGTTGGTTATCAAGTGATGTCAAGAGGCTGGAAGCCCTCGCCGGCTCCTGTCCTTGCCTGTCGGGTTAGATTTATACAGTCCTTTAAAAATACCTCTCTCGCCCCTGCTTTTCTCCCCTGTCCCCCAGCAGCCTTCTTTGATCCGCTCCAAGGTGGCAGAGGTGAAGTTTGAGTAATTCCTTTATGGGGTCTTAAAACGTAAGTTAATGTATTTATCCGGAATGACTCAAAAGCTTAAGTCGGGAAGTCCAACTTAACTAAATCAATAGGTGGTTGTCGGGGGCCGAGCGTGTGCGGGTGAGCGCGGTGCTCCCCGAGTGTCGTGAGCTTGCAACGTGGGCTTTTTGGTGAGCTTTTTTTCTTCCCGAAGGCTAATGGCTTCCACAGCAATTAGACATTTTCCTCGCCCGCCCCCTTCCCTCCCCTTTCTTTACATATACGAGATTGGGTACTAATTCCCGCGGCTATTGATAAGGTCGGAGGCGCCCGGGCCTCTCCCGGGCCTCGCCCGCCCCAGTGCCCGCTCTCCCTCCGCCCTCCCCTGGCTTCCTTTTGATGTAGCGGGGAACGCGTCCTACTAAAAAAAAAAAAAAAAAAAAAAAAAAAAAAATCAAGCCACATAATGGAAAATAAACAAAATTATATAAATACATAAAAAATTCCTATAAACCAGGAAAAAA